ACTATTGCCCTCGTTATAGCAGCTATGCTTATAAATAATTAAAGTTGACTTAAATTGTCTTGATCAGTAAATATTCATATATACTATATAAAAGTTACATACCACCCGATTCTTTAATATTACATGACAGATTAACTACATGTATAATAATATGAGTGAGTGAGTGAGTGAGTGAGTTGGGTTTTACGCCGCTTTTAACAGTATTCCAGTTATATCGCGGCGTGTCAGCTTAATGTGGGAGGAAAGCCCGAAGTGATGCAGGTCTCAGACGTTTACCACTTGGGTGAAACCCACGAGCACGGGTATGGTGCTGACAAACCTAGAAACATAATCGGGGCGAACCGGGATTCGAACCCACAATCATAGGTTTCTGGCATGCCCAAGGGACGCAACTCTGCACAGCGAATCGCGGCGCCTTAGACGACTGGGCCACCCGTGCCCCCTATAATAATATGAAGAATCGGGTTGTCCTTAACATTTATTTAGCAACATCGATAACTATATATAGCCTTTCCAGAAGATCCATCCAGTGGAACAAACATATCCAAGCAAGCAATTTACCACCCCACACCATTTATTTCATAGGATTCAAGCACAGCGTCTGAAATATGAATGGGGGAAACACTGCACGTTTCAACCATGCCTCGACTGGGCACGGTATGATCTAATCATATTGAAGTTAAGCCAGCGATCAAGTTCTTTGTGGAAATAAAGCTCATGGATGTTTTCATGCCATATTCTTTTGTGAAGGCGGCTAAACACATCAACAACATTGCCGGAGCGAAGGATTACGAATAATTGAAATAACCGAACCTGTCTATAAAACAGATAAATGTTTTTTTCACTCTATATAAATGTCCAGATAAGCCGGCCCTTGCTGAGAATCACATCTATTTACAGTTAATGTTTTTGAATAACTACCACTACTAGTCTGGTCCGGACTCGATTATTTACAGACCGCCGTCATATAGCTGGAATATTGCTGAGTGCGGCGTAAACAACCAACCAACCAACCAACTACTACTACTACTACTGCTACTACTACTACTACTACTACTACTACTACTACTACTACTACTACTACTATCACTACCATTGCCACTACTACTGCTTAATGTGGGAGGAAAGCCCGAAGTGATGCAGGTCTCAGACGTTTACCACTTTGGTGAAACCCACGAGCACGGGTATGGTGCTGACAAACCTAGAAACATAATCGGGGCGAACCGGGATTCGAACCCACAATCATAGGTTTCTGGCGTGCCCAAGGGACGCAACTCTGCACAGCGAATCGCGGCGCCTTAGACGACTGGGCCACCCGTTGCCCCCTGTACTTTTGAGACCTATCTGGTGTACCCTGCCGAATGATTATCGAAAAGCTGAATCATGCAGAGATTTCTTGAGGCTTCTTAGGAACTGGTCAGGCGGCATATGCAAATGCTCTATATGTAAATAATTTATGATACATGATTCTCCCCTGTGATGTCATTTTAGCTATTTTACTTTAAATATAATTTAGCTTCCTATGTTCATTTTATCATTTCATTTATATGATATATTTTTTTTCTCTTAACCTGTTTTGTTGGAATAACATCTCTAGAAAGAATGTTATATTGTTACATGTAATAACCAACGTTAAATATTATTCTTGTATCTTGTATCCTATAGGTTGAATTATGATTAAATATATAATATAAATAATGGTGATGTTTTTGATATGATATCAAAGCCTTGATTTGCATCTTAAGTTAGAAGTGTTTCAGCGACTGTTTTCAGTCTACAGTAAACTACGGATATAACGAACTCAAAGGGACCACTAATTTTAGTTCTTAATAACCGTAGTTCGTCATAAGCATATATACAGCATATATGCAACAAATTGCCAGGACAAAAAAAAGGTTCGTTATATCGGTAAGTTCGTTATAAGCGTGTTCGTTATAAACGTAGTTTACTGTAGTTACATTTTGTTAACGTTTGTAATTATTTAGTCAAATACAATTTGTAAGTGTATACTTTCTTTTGATCGGCAGTTTAATATCTTTAATTGGGCGACGAAAAACATACTATTTATTTCACAATCGATGCACTTATAACTCTCAAGTATCAGTACCTCTGCACTGTGAAGCATCAACGCCCTCGGGAGTACATATAAATCGACTTGACATACCAGCAAATACGGGGATGGGGCCTTCAGAGCAGTACTTAGCTGATCTTGACTTGCCTGTCCACCCAGTTATGACCATTCTGATTGAGTTATGGTCGTAGATAGCTATCTGACATGTATGTCGCCATGTTGGTGGGTGTTACAGGGTCATTGGGTTAATCACTGCCACAGTGAAACCTCGCTACACCGGACGGTACAGTTTCCAGTGATCCCGTCCGGAAATTCAAGTTTTCGTATTAAGGAATCGTGGCTTAGAGTAACGTCTCTTTATTAAGATACAATATTACGTTCGTAGTAAATCGTCCAGAGAGACGGGGTTTCCGGATTAAAGAGGTTTTTACTGTACAACCGTCATTTAACCGTGTATTATTTTTTGTCTTAGGTGAGAGAAATAAAGACTTTTAGCCGAGTGTGTTTCCTTACCGTAAATATCATATTTTAGGATTAAAAGCTGTATAAGGCTAACTGCAGGCGAGCGTAATACATATGTTTTTATTCCCAATAAATGGCGTTACGATTCGGAAACATACGTAATAATCTCTTTATCGTATGACGTTCTTCTTAAAATAGTGGGTTTTAAGATGTAATTTCACTCAATGATGGAGCTGTAGAAACCGCGTATGAATACAATGTTTGAGTGAACCGCCCAGTGTGTCAAATAGTGCCAAATGACTTGCAGCCATGTCTACAGAATCAAGACACATGGGGAAACCCTATGTATTGGGAACTTTAGTCGATTGAGAAAAAAGGTCATTGCATCGGTGTATTGAGATTGAAGTAGTTCCTTCTGGCGATCTCATTTGTATATGTAACACTACCCATTATATGATACAGATAAGTGTTTTCTGGTCAATGTTTTTGTTTGTTTATTTGTTAGTTGTTTAACGCCACACACAGTAATATTCCAGCTATATGACGGCGGTCTGTAAATAACCGAGTCTGGACCAGACAACCCATCCAGTGATTGATATCATGAGCATCGATTGTGAACGAGTGAGTGAGTTTGATTTTACGCCGCTTTAGCAATATTCCAGCAATATCATGGCGGGGGAGCACCAGAAATGGGCTTCACACATTGTAGCCATGTTGGGAATCGAACCCGGGCTTTTGTCGTGGCGAGCGAACGCTTTAACTACTAGACTACCCCATCGCCCCTGTTTTATGGTTACATAACATCGGATTTTGGTAACCGAGAAAGAATATGAAAGATAATTTTCCATGGTATGAAGTTTTTGTGTGTGCATAATCAGGGTGTTACATGTACATTTCTGATCTTTGTAGTAGCGGCGGTGTAGCCTACTAAACAAAGTGAGTGAGAGTGTTTCAACAGTATTCCAGTTATATCACGGCGTATCAGCTTAATGTGGGAGGAAAGCCTTAAGTGATGCAGGCCTAAGGTGAGGTGAGGTGAAATTAGGTTTAACGTCGCGTCCAAGATTATTGCACTTATATAGCGACGTGCATGCACGTGTATGTGTGTGTGTGGCTGCTTGTACTAGTCCGGACTGATGCCGATTTATAGTGCTAGCTCATTGAGATACCATGCCGCAGTTTAACATGAATACCTCACTCAGACACAGTATACTGACTCCGAGCCGACCAGTCCTTGTTTTAGCCCCTTAGTGCCGAGCGCCAGACAGGGTAACAACAAGTACAATCTTTTAACGTCTTTTTGTATGACGCGGCCCGGGATCGAACCCTGGACCTTCCGCTCTCCGGGCGGACGCTCTACCACAAGACCACGGAGGCGGTCGATGCAGGCCTAAGACATTTACCACATTGGTGAAACATAATCGGGGCGACCCGGGATTCGAACCCGATAATAGATTTCTGGCGTGTCTACAAGGGACGCGACTCTCCACAGCGAATTGAGGCACCGTAGACGTCTCGACACCCGTGTCCCCTTACTTAAATAGCAATTTTAGGACTTCCACTTTCCGTGGAGCAATATTCCAGCAGCTCCAGCCTTTGGGGTCAACATGTCACACCGTTTGAGGTACAGTGGAACATAATCTTTCTTCGAAGATTTCAAAGAGCGTCATACTAGTCCTTCTCAAGGTTCCCAATCGTGTCATGGTAAACGTCGGTTGGTTGGTTTGTTGTTTAACGCCGCACTCAGCAATATTCCAGCTATATGACGGCGGTCTGTAAATAATCGAATCTGGACCAGACAATCCTGTGATTGACATCATGTCCAGTAAGAATGATTCCTTCTTTCAATATTGCTTCCATTTGAGATCCCGGGAAAGAATATGTTCCCAGTATCCCATGTTTGTCTACAGAGGACCGAGTGGTCAGGTTTGGTGTGGAAAGAACCGACTCAACTAAGAACTAGGCTGTTATACTTGTGTCAACGGATCTGAAAGGGGTGGACCGTTGCTCATGCTTTCAGTCAGTGGTTTGTGACTCCATTATTTGGAATCCGCCGTGGCATTTAGGGATTGCTACCTAATGCGGTATAAAACACGATTTGCTCACTTACTGAAGCGTATTATGATTTGTCACAGTTTGCTGGAAACATTTCTATGAAAAATAAAAACGACCACTATATCTCATATCTTGTTCAATAGAATATGTAAATAAATTTCAGCTGGTACAACTCGTGTTTCATTTCATTTCAGCAAAGGACAATATAATAGCTAGTTTTAAAACTACAGTATAAGCAAACTGTTAAGATCAAGGGCATATTTTATGAACGTTTTAAACAATTTGTTTTCATCGCATGTTCAATGAGCTTGTTCACGCAAACATTCCAACCCCTAATGCTTGCAGTGAACACGTCCGTGCATGAAATTCACGTGCAAGTTGTTTCCTCCGAGGTCCGCGCTGTCTGCTTTAAATTCCCATCGCCATTTGCTGTGTGTTTTCCCACGGTAGCTGGTGTTGGAACGTGTTCTTGCAAATAAAGACATGGCTGACACGGCAGGACCGTCAAAGAATGGCGTTAGGAGAGCGCCCGCCACACACCCATCATGGTATGAGATGGTCATTGAAGCAGTCAGTAGCAACAAGGACTCAAAAGGTGCTTCCGTTCAGGCTATTAAGACTTACATCGTCGCGACGTATCCTACCGTTGACCAGAATTCAATGCGACACCACATCAAACGCGCGCTCGAGAAGGGAATCAAACTTAAACTTTTAAAGCGACCGAAAGCTTCCGAAGATGCTACAGGATTGACAGGACGGTTTAAGTTGGATAAAGTCACAGTCGCGGCGGAAGCGAAAGCGAAAGCAAAGAAACTGAAGAAAGCCGAAGAAAAGAAGGAAAACATCGTGAAGAAAAAGAAAACATCGCCCGTGAAACGTAAAACAAAAACTGAAAAGTCTGAGAAAAGTGAAAAAGCAAAGAAAACTAGTGCAAAAGCAAAGGCAAGTGCCAAGTCGCCGAAGAAGGTCAGGAAAGGTGTAGAAACAACGCCGACAGCCCCCAGGTCGAAAAAAGCTGAAATGAAGACTCCAAAGAAACCGAAATCTGCCACAGCCAAGTCCAAAGTTACAGCTACTGAGAAGAAAAAGGTGAGTTGTTAGGTCGTATATGATGTGGCTTTAGTACTTCATGTGACTACCGTAGGTCTTGATCTGCTCTTGATTATTTGTAAGAAAATCGGTAAGTACCAGTACGATAAATATCCATGACATGACCAAGTTAAATTTTTTTATTAAATAAGGCCAAGTGGTTCCAATAATGTATATTTCTTTTAATGACAAAGATATTCCCAATTAAAACACAGGTTAATTTGTTTATCTCTTCTGTTTTCAAAACGAATGTCAATTGAAATGTCTTGTGAACTCGAAATTCAACAAAGTTGTTAATCTAAACTGTAATATAAAGGTTAGCTACATTGCACTTATGTATACATAAATGACACGTATCAGATTTGTATTTTTCAGTTTTCGTAGTAACACCAGTAAGTGTAAAACCAAATTATTAACAATAATAAAATCAAAAAGTGCCAAATTGAGAGCTACTCAGTGGCGCTCTTGTAATTTGTAATGATGTAATGCTTTCAAATAGTCAAGTTTGCCGGTCTACGAACTATAGAAAGATATCCGCTCTGTAACCGCTGATTCAAATTTTTTGGGGGTTAGGGCAACTTTACCCTACATAAATAATTTTTAGTGCTCCTGCTTTATAGCCAGGGAATGATATCTTTTGTTTGCAACAAGTCATGACATGGAGAAAACGGGATTCGACTAGGATAAGAATTGATCTTCAGCAACCCAGGTTTGTCGCAAGCGGCGATCGCCTCCGTGGTCTAGTGGCAGAGGGTCCGCCCGGAGAGCGGAAGGCCCGGGGTTCGATCCCCGGTCGCGTCATACGAATAGACATTGAAAGGTGGTTCTTGTTGTTACCCTGCCTGGCGCTCGGCATTAAGGGGCTAAAACAAGGACTGGTCGTCTTGTCTTAGAGTCGGTATACTGTCTGAGTGGGCATGGTTTCTCAGTGGGCTAGCACTATCAAATCGGTCCGGATATGTACGGATCAGTACAAGCAACCACACACATACGCACGTGTATGTTCTCCCATCTGTCGTGTCGTAAATTTCAATGATATAATCAGTCATACGGTCTTAGTGTAAACCCGAAAATTGCTACCATTATCGTTTTTACATAATGCATCAGTAGTAATTTCATCTATATTCTATCATGCATGTTTTTAGTTACTCACAAAAGCCACACAGACGCTTTACATAATTTTTGACAAATCTAAAGGACTGGAAAAGTTTGATATTATTTGACAAGCGATTGATTGTCATTCATTTGACTTCTTGTGTGTTTGCCAGGACGCCACATTTATTTTGTATTGTGAAACCCGGCACTCGGCAATATTCCAGCTCTCTGACGGCGATCTGTAAATAATCGAATCTGGACCAGACAATCGATATCATGAGCATCGATCTACACAGCTGGGATACGATGACATGCATCAACCACGTCCGCGAGCCTGACAACACGATCCCGTAGTCGCCTCTTACAAGCAGTCACCTTTTACTTGACTGATTGTTAGTTTTGTCATAAAGTGGTACACATTGGAAAGTAATCTTCTTAACGTACATCTGTTTCTATGGTTTGCGTTTCTTTTGTCAGTGAGTATATATAGGATAGTGTATTTCTGGCACTCATTAATTGACCTCGAATTTAATCAACACAACGGCCTGTGGTCAGTGTGGTAACGGGTGGCCCAGTCTAAGGTGCCACAAGTCTGCTGTACTTCCATTTGACGTTGCAGAAACCTACAGTTGGTTTGAATCCCGGAGTCACCCTGATTGTTTCTAGGTTTGTCAGGGCCACATCCGTCCCACCGAAGTGGTAAACGTCCAAGGCGTGCATCGCTTCGGCCTCGCTGTGATATATAACTGAAATACTGTACAAAACGGCGTCGAACCAAACTCTCATTTTAAGCTCAGACCCGTGAAGATTCCGGGCTAGAATAGGTCTTCAGCAACCCATGCTTGTCGTAAAAGGTAACTATGCTTGTCGTAAGAGGCGACTAACGGGATCGGGTGGTCAGGCTCGCTGACTTGGTCACTTGACGTTCATCGATGCTCATGATATCAATCACTGGATTGTCTGGCCCAGACTCGATTTACAGACCGCCGTCATATAGCTGGAATATTGCTGAGTGCGGCGTTAAACAACAAACAAAACCATTTTCAGTTCAACCGTTTATCTTCCCGAGGCAAGGGAGTAAACTGACTGTAAAAGTGCAGTTTCGACCCTTTTAAGCTGGAATTTTGTAGTTATGTTTTGGCTGGACAAACGAATCTAGATGCACAATCAAAATCGCGTAACGAAATCGACATGCGGTTGCTTCGTAACCATATTTAACGTCAGCTGGGCATCGTCAGCTATTTTACAAATATTTTCATGTTTTTATTCAAGGTGCTCAAGTAATTTTTATGAACTTCGCTGAGTCGGACTCGTTGTATTACAATATAGATCATTATTATCGATCAGATTGTCCTGATTCGACGCTGCCATAATGATAGGTGGAATCTGATTGGTCCATATGGGGGACATAGAAGGGACGTAGAAGGGACATAACTCGTAATAGCCACTTGTGAAGCTACGGTCGAGCCCTGAAAATGCAGCCTATTTCGGCAAGGGTGGAAACTGGACTTTTACAGTCGGTTAACGTCCTTACCTCAGTATAAATAGCATCCCTTTGAAAAGTGTAGTCCAACTTGACATACAACGGTAACATCAGTTATGTAGCCTTGTAATGTATTTGAATTGTAGGCCCTACATACTTCTATATGTTGATTGTTAGCTCAACTGGTTTCATATACTGGTGCCACCCTTAGGCCAGTGTTTCGGGAAACACCCGACGTTGCAAAATAGGCTTCGACTCTTTTTGTTGTTGCCAAGTTTGCTTTTAAGGAGACGCGCATATAATGCGGGAATACATATGCTACTCAACTTTTAAGGATAAAGTCATTCTATTTGAAATCTAAACCTGACATGAGAATCGGTTTTGAGTGTCGGTGAAAGATAATTTTTTTTATCCATATCTAAAGCAAAGTTGCGTCCCGTGTGCACTCCAGGAACCAGTGATTTTGGCCCTGATTATGTTTCTAGGTTTGTCAGCACCATACCCGTGTTCGCGAGTTTTACCATTTTGGTGAAACCCGCGAACACGGGTATGGTGCTGAGACCTGAATCACTTCGGGTTTTCCTCCCACAATAAGCTGACATGCCGTGATGTAGCGACTATGCTTGTCGTAAAAGGCGACTAACGGGATCGGGTGGTCAGGCTCGCCGACTTGGTTAATGTATGCATCAGACATCAGATTTTGTCACCGATGCTTTAAATTTGGACATTTCCTCACGTTTACCAGACCCGTGAAGATCCGGGTAGAAGTGGTCTTCAGAAACCCATGCTTGCCGTAAAAGGCGACTATGCTTGTCGTAAAAGGCGACTATGCTTGTCGTAAAAGGCGACTAACGGGATCGGGTGGTCAGGCTCGTTGATTGGTTGATGCATGTCATCGGTCCCAATTACGTGGATCGATGCTTATGATGTCAATGACTGGATTGTCTGGTCCAGACTCGTTTATTTACAGACCGCCGTTATATAGCTGGAATATTGCTGAGTGCGGCGTTAAACAACAAACAAACCAAACCTCGCCAGTTCCACTTTCAACGTTTGTTTGTGGATTTGAATTTTAGTAACAATTTGCAAGTTTATCTCCATTTTATCAAACCACACCTGATTGAATACAAATGTATTTATATTGAAAACGTGGTGAACATCTTAATTTATCTAAACACGCCGTGATATAACTGAAATAATGTTAAAAACGGCGTTAAACCCAACTCACTCACTCACTTAATTAATCTTAACAATCTGTCCGACATGTCTTAACCAAGGTGCATGCCAAATGTTTTCTCGTGTTCTAGGCAAAGCCCGCCAGCAAGAAAGGCACCCCCAAGAAGAGCAAGGCCAAGACAAAATCCTAGAGCTAGAGTGTACAGTTTTATATGTGAACTTTTTAATTGCAGGCTGTAATTGTTTTAGAATAAATATTTTAAAATCAGTTTGAATATACTTTTTTGCGTTTCTTTGTCATCGTAATGTTACACTCCGTTCCTATCTGGCTGCGAAAATGCATGGGCTTGATTATGAGCTAAAGACATGGAGTACATTCGGGTCAACTCGGCGTGTTCCGTGTACTACATGACACCTCGGACACCAGTTGAATGGTGACACTGGATTTCTCGGTAAACCGCATCCCTATCGATCCCCCAGGTTGAGTTTGTAGTTAGTTGGGGTTTAATTAAACAAGGTGCTGACAAATTACGTTGAATGTTTGTCTCCCACAGCCTCGATATGGAGTTCTTTCAAAAATTGCTTTTGGTCGTCAAGATTTGCCATCACATGACACTACAATTGACACTGAACAGCTTCAAGACCCGGGTTTTAGTCTGAAATCGTTTCCTTTCATGTTGATGAATATTTAAACATGAAAACAGTATTATAACTGGACACGGGAGGGGAAGTTGAAGGAATTATTTAATTGACCAAACATGTCTATACATTATCAGTGCACACGTCATACGTGGCTCGAGATGCTTGGTTGGAAGCAGCTGGCAACCATCCAGTGTTTGATGACATGCAGTAAGTCACAGAACCTGACCACCCGATTCTCATTGAAGTCGGCTCTAACGCATAGCGGACCAGTTCGGGAACGGAACACACGGTGCGCGAGTGTTTAACGCCGCAGCTATATTCCAGCTATATGACGGCGGTCTGTAAATAATGGAGTCTGGACCAGGAATCCAGTGATTGACATGAGCATCGATCCACGCGAATGGGATCGATGACATGCATCAACCAATCAGCGAGCCTGACCACCCGATCCCGTTAGTCGCCTTTTACGACAAGCATAGTCGCCTTTTACAGCAAGCATGGGTCTCTGAAGACCACTTCTACCCCGGATCTTCCCGGATCTGGTAAACGTGAGGAAATGTCCAAATTTAAAGCATCGGTGACAAAATCTGATGTCTGATGCAGTTTTCTGTTTTGACTCATATATTGCCGTGTTTCATCCGGTGAACAATTGACTGTGCATGTGTTTATGACCGAGCCACCGGTGGGACAGGATACGCTCAACTTTTCGCCAACACCTGATGTCATCACTATTTATAACTTATTCACAAACACATGTTAATGTTTGTTTTTTTGTTTAACGCCGCACTCAGCAATATTCCAGCTATATGACGGCGGTCTGTAAATAATCGAGTCTGGACTAGACAATCCAGTGATTGACATCATGAGCATCGATCCACGTAATTGGGATAAGATGACATGCATCAACCAGGTAAGCGAGTCTTACCACCCGATCCCGTCAGTCGCCTCTTACGACAAGCATAGTCGCTTTATGTTAAATATATAGTTGGAATCTTACAATGGACTCGGCTTTCACCAGAGATGTTTTATGATTATGGAAAGGATTTTGTCTTTTTATTTACGGTAGATAGTGTTGATGTTGATGTAGCAATCAATTCAACTGTTACAAAGCTAGTACTTAAGGGGATCTACCTCACAAACCACAGACTTCTTTGATTATCTAATCATTTTGAATAAATACTTAATCTAAAATTTGTTGTACTCTTGTAATGAATTACTTAGGTTCAACAAAATATCCTTGTGGTTAAAGTGTTCGTTCTTAATGTCAAAACGCCGACTTCGATTCCATGAAGATTATGTCCCCGAGATCCTTGAACACTGCTAGAACTGGAGTAATATCACACTAACCCATGTATGGCAAGTTCGTGAAATGTGGTGATACTGATGTCCGACATATTAATGTGGATCGATCTCTTGTGGCTATGTTTCCCCTTCGGGATTCCGGGTTTTAATAGGTCCCAGCAACCTGTGTTGGTCGGAAGAGGCGACCAAAACGATAGGGTTGTCAGGCTCGGCGATTTGGTTGATAGCGTGTCATCGTATTCCTAATTATATGGCGTCGATACTTGCTCCCAATATCAACCCCTAACTTTACAGGCCGCCGTCATAAAGCTGAGGGCGGCGTTAACCAACAAGATAAACACATATCCTGTAGCCATTCAACACAGACAGTTCTTAACAAAAAACAAAGACATTGCGTTTAAACTATTACAACTGTTATTTGATTAAAAAAATGAACATTGAATTACATTAACATTTGTTTCTTCTGAACAGATTCGTAAAGCGACGAAAGAAAGATTTTGACTTTTGTACATTTTGTTTCTGATTATAAGTTTCGATCAAATTGGTTGTGCTTGGTGACATATGTTTCTTTGATGACAGACTACTTTGAGAGAGTTCATGATGTCTTGTTGACCTATTGCCTTGTTCACGAGGTATGTCATTCTTTGATTGGACAATGTGGTCAAAGCACGTGGTCCGTGTAGCCCCTGACCTCTGAACAAGTCCAACACCCTCTCCCTCTCCTGAATGTACACGTAGTCTTTCAACACTTAACATGTCCACCTCCTTCACCAAGCGATCCACCTTCTTCCTGAGGGAGACTTTCTCCTCCGAGAGTTGTCTGGCTTGTCTCCGAAGATGTTGATTCTTCAGTTTCAGACATTGGGAACGGAGCCGTGCATCTCGTAGGTCAGCCCGGAGAATGTCCACCTCAACCAGGGCAGCCGTCAGCTGCATGTGGAGGTCGAGCTCTTTGCCAAGTTGTTTGTCCTTTTTACTACAATCCCATTGGAATGGTGGCTCGGGGCGAATAGGTCTTGGTTTTATTGTGACGTGTTTGGGAACCAAATCGTGGAACTCTGAAATTGCAATAATCGAATTTAGTATACAATCAACTCTATGGTAAGTCTAACACATCAGCACATATACATTTACCGTGTTAAATAGATAAACTGGCAGAGAAATTACAGTTAATACAGACTTTTTCAACGAAGTTGCAGGGATATGATAGTTGAAAGCACCCACGGCATACACACAGACAGACAGACATAGACAAACAGACACACACACACACACACACACACACACCTATCGGTTCTGTACGTGCAAAACACTCCGCCACCTCGGAATCAAACCCCTCACACTCGGACACGGTCGGACGCTTTGCGACTGGTCTTGGTTTTATTGTGACGTGTTTGGGAACCGAATCACGAAACTCTGAAATAAAAATAACCAGATTTAGTATTGAATCAATCAAACTGCCAAGTGTGAAAGTTATACCGCGTATATATCTACGTATAAAATTAAGGAAGTGGCAGAAATACAGTGGTTGAATCTGAAACACTTTTCAATTGAAACAGAAGTTGTAGAGTTGAACTCTGTTATTATATATAACGGCACACACCTGTCGGTTCTGTACGTGAAAAACACTCCGCCACCTCGGAATCAAAGCCCTCGCACTCGGACACGGTCAGACGTCTTGTGGCTTGCATAATGCTTCGATAATCTCGATAAATGAAGAGCGTACTGCAATGCTGCTGTAGATAGCTGAAGGTATGTCAGACAATGGCGTGACGTCACAATATCAGCTAATGACGTCATTGCGACGTCTAGACGGTAGATTTCGCTGTCGTTCGGAAGAGGTCGGTAGATTTCGTTGTGAGTGTGTTCTGATTGCTTCAGATCAGCCGAAAAATACCATCATGAGAAGCTCTTTGTACTTTGGTATAATATCGTTACTTTCTTCAAAACAAGCATCATATCATGGGCTAATATTAAGAAGATAATTAACAATCTTAATTCAGAAACAGTAAAAGGTATTGTCTATTTGTCCATGTTTTTTCTCAAATGAATTTCGTTTTCGGAAAGGGTTTATTTTTATATTGTGAGCTATGTGATAATGTCATCAGTGTTGGAAAGCAACAGGGATATAATTTGGTCAGCACCAAATTGAAATGTTTCAAATATATGATTGGCCGTTGAAAAGAACATTCTATGTTACAGGTAAAATGAGTGAGTTAGATAGTTTTAACGCCACCTTCAACAATATTTCAGTTAAATAACGGCATGTCTATGAATGTTTATTCCCAAAGTTTGGAAATTTCCCTTTTTTGACGACACTGTCTCGTAGTTCATGATTATAGAACATGGACCAGTTGTCTAAGGCGCGGCAAGACGCTGTGCAGACATGCCTCCTTCTTAGACATACAGACTACTCTGGTCGTTAGTTCTTGGTTTGTCAGCACCATACAATAGACTGGAGGATTTCACTTTACTTATGTAAAATATAAATAATGTCCCAAATTACCACAAAGAAATTGCAACAAAAATTGAAACATTGTTCCTAAATAATATACTAGAGGTGGGTTATATGCTTTCGGAACACACAGGGGCGAGGACAAATTATATATCACAGGATATTTGTTTTTAATTCATATTTTGCATCTACACGAGAAGAAGTTTACTCTCAATTGATGTAACTTTGTTCTGATGGTTATAGTTGTAATTTCAACATTTTGAATTATATATTAGTAAATTAGGAAACGGTCTAGGGGAGAAACACCCGTTAGCCTTTGCCGATGAGAGTGACTTCCCTTGTGTTGAATAAAAGATGGCGTAGAACAACGAAGCTCGTCTTGAGGTATACTTCTATTATGGTAATTGGAATAGTTCCAAATTCGTCGAAGCTTTTTGAAAAAAAGAGCAGACATTCACTTCATTCATAGATTCATTCTACGACAAAGCTTAACTGTTGGCAGTGAAACAGCTGTTTGTCTATATATTTACATCCTTAGACGGACATCCGATAACCGATAACTTGATAATGATGACTGAAAATTATAAGATACTAAGAACATTTGATGTATTTGGTACATTGGGAGATTTATTGTCTAGTGCTACTGGAAATACGTTTAACCATCATAAATGATGTGCATATATATCCTTCTGTTGAAATATGTTGACCATTATGTACTTTTCGAATGAATTTAATTAGCACACAGTTTGTAATGTTTCCAATGAACAATACAACCTGGATCTTTAGCACTTAAAGAGACGCTTGTGGGGTACGGGTGGCCGATTGTGTAAGGCGTTGCAATTCGCTATCCACTCGTGTTAAAATCCGATAATCGTGGGTTCGAATCACAGGTTCATAGTCGTGCTCGTGGGTTTCACCAAAGTGACAAATTTCTAAGACCTGCATCACTTTGGGCGTTTCTCCCACAAAATACTGGCAGGCGGTGACATAACTGAAATGCTGTTCGTAGCGGCGTTGAGCCCAACTCTACAGTATTATGTGTCTGTCGGTCACAATGTCTCAGATTGTTGAATACATATTATTGAACTTTTATAGTGAATGAGATTTTTGTCTGCGAATGTCAGAGGAATAAAGTTGAATGACACACGTGTACATTTACCTAAACAATGTGGATATCAATTCACCCAATGAGAATTATGTTTTTCCACAATATTGTTAGATCCTCCTGTACAGATGTCCAGGGCCCCGTTTCACAAAGCGTAGCACAAGGACTACCGTGACTCCCTTACTTTAACATGTACTTACGATAATCGTAGCATTAATATTGCTTTGTGGGACGAGGCCCAGGCCTCGTCGTGGATCGATGCTCATGATCAATCACTGGATTGACTGGTCCAGACTAAATTATTTACAGACCGCCGTCATATAGCTGGAATATTGGTAAGTGCGGCGTAAAACAACAAAGAAAGAAACAAAATAGTACTTAAGGGTATGTACCTTACCGATCACTCAGTTCTTTGATTATCTAATCATGTTGACTAAAAATTTAATCAAAGATATGTTGTATTCTTGCTATGAATTGATTAGGTTTACCTTGAGTTAGTTGCCTAGTGGTTCAAGCGTTAGCTCTCAATGCCAAAACCCAGAGTTCGATCCCTAATATACACAACACGTTAAGACCTATTTTCGATGGCCCCGATATTGCTTGAACACTGCTAAAATGAAGCAATGTCACACTCAACCCATGCATGGATGGATGAACGGTATGGCTTATTCGTGAAGTGTGATGATACTGATGCCTTACATATTAATGTTGATAGATATCTTGTGTCTGTGTTTCCCTGTGGGGATTCCGGGTTAGAAAATGTCCCAGCAACAAGCGCTGGTCGTAAGAGGCGACAAACTGCATTGTTGATTGTGTGTCATCGTATCATAAGGCTTACAATATCAATCACTGACTTTACAGGCCGTCGTCATATAGCTGGACTTTTGCTTAGTGCAGCGTTAAACAACAAACAAACATAACTTGCAGCTACTGAACACAAACAGTTGTAAAGAAATAACAAAGACATTGCTTTTAAACTATAACAATTGTTATTTGATCAACAAAATGAACATTAAATAACATTAACATTTGTTTCTTCTGAACAGTTTTGTAAAACGGCGAAAGAAAGATTTTGACTTTTGTACATTTTGTTTCTGATTACAAATTTCTATAAAATTGGTTGTGCTTGATGACATATGTTCCCTTGATGACAGACTACTTTGAGAGAGTTCATGATGTCTTGTTGACCTTTTGTCTTGTTCACGAGGTATGTCATTCTTTGATTGGACAATGTGGTCAAAGCACGTGGTCTGTGTAGCTCCTGACCTCTGAACAAGTCCAACACCCTCTCCCTCTCCTGAATGTACACACAGTCTTTCAACTCTCAACATGTCCACCTCTTTCACCAAGCGATCCACATGCTCCCTGAAGGAGACTTTCTCCTCCGAGAGTTGTCTGGCTTGTCTCTGAAGATGTTGGTTCTTCAGTTTCAGACATTGGGAACGGAGTCGTGCATCTCGTAGGTCAGCCCGGAGAATGTCCACATCAACCAGGACAGCCGTCAGCTGCATGTGGAGGTCGAGCTCTTTACCAAGTTGTTTGTCCTTTTTACTACAGTCCCATTGGAATGGTGGCTCGGGGCGAATAGGTCTTGGTTTTATTGTGACGTGTCTGGGAACCAAATCGTGGAACTCTGAAATTGCAATAATCGAATTTAGTATATAATCAACTCTATGGTAAGTCTGAAACATTTACCCTGTTAAATAGATAAACTGGCAGAGAAATGACAGTTAATACATACTTTTTTAAACGAAGTTGCATGGATATGAGAGTTGAAATCACCCACGGCACACACACACACACACACACACACACACGGACAGATATAGACACACACACACACACCTATTGGTTCTGTAGGTGCAAAACACTCCGCCACCTCGGAATCAAACCCCTCACACTCGGACACGGTCAGACCCCTTGGGACTGGTCTTGGTTTTATTGTGACGTGTTCGGGAACCGAATCATGAAACTCTGAAATAAAAATAACCGGATTTAGTATTGAATCAATTAGACTGGCAAGTTTGAAAGTAATACCGCATATACATGTACGTATAAAATTAAGGAAGTTGTAAAAATACAGTGGCTGATTCTAAAACCCTTTTCAATTGAAACAGAAGTTAAAGAGTTGAACTCTGTTAAAATATATAACGGCACACACCTTTCGGTTCTGTACGTGAAAAACACTCCGCCACCTCGGAATCAAAGCCCTCACACTCGGACATGGTCAGACGTCTTGTGGCTGGCATTATTCTTCGATAATCTCGATAAATGAAGAGCGTACTGCAGTGCTGCTGTAGCTTGCTGAGACAATGTCAGACAATGGCGTGACGTCACAATATCGCCTAATGACGTCATAGCGACGTCTAGTCGGTAGATTTCGCTGTCGTCCGTTCGGTGGAAGTACCTTCAGAACAGGTCGATATATTTCTTTGTGAGTGTGTTCCGATTGCTACACATCAGCCGAGACATACCATCATTGGATGCTCTTTGTTCTTTGGTATAATGTCATCAAAACAAGCATCATATCATGGGCTAATATTAAAAAGATAATTAACAATCTAAATTCAAAAGCCGCAAAAGGTATTGTCTATATTTCCATGTTTTTTTTCTCAAATGAATTTCGTTTTCGGAAGAGGTTTATTTTTATATTGTGAGCTATGTGATATTGTCATCAGTGGTTAGGCTTTTCACAACTGTCTATATATCTGTAAATCTATTCTTGCGCAGGAAAGCAACAGGGAAATAATTTGGTCAGCACCAAATTAAAATGTTTGAAATAAATGATTGGGTGTTGAAAAGAACATTCTGTGTAACAGGTAAAATGAGTGAGTGAGGTAGTTTTAACGGCACCCTGAGCACTATTTCTGTTAAATAACGGCGTGTCTATGAATGTTTATTCCCAAAGTTTGGAAAGATGAGATCTCAGCATCGCTTCTAACTTCATACCTACATGCACGACACTGAGTGGCTGAAATACGGAAAGTTGTACATCCTCCCAACTGCCTTTTGATTCAATTATACAAGTGAGAAATACGTGGAACTGTTTTTTCTGTTCACCTTTTTAGACTGACTCGTAGTTCATGATTATAGTAGATGGCCCAGTTGTCATGGGTACGGTAAGACGCTGTGCAACCATGCTTCCTTAGCATATGTAGCATATGCAGCTACGATACTCTGGACGTTGGTTCTTGGTTTGTCAGCACCATACGATAGGCCGGAGGATTCTCACTTTGTTTATCAATAGTTTTCAATGTTTGCAATTACAAAAAAAAACTGGTTCTTGAACTCTTAACCCTCTGGATGCCGCGATTTTTTTCTGACGCACATTTTCCAAAGATCGGAAAAGTGAAGGTTGTGCGAGAATTGCGCTCACGCGGCACTGGATCTACCTCTGGCTATAAAATTACGCAGAGGTGGAGAATATTAAATTTCCTATTTGATGGTGTAAAGTTAACTGCAAATAATGAACCGTTTTAAAAAAAATACACTTATAAGTGTTGCCCGAGATTTTTTTCTGCCTTGAAAAACCGTAAATTTCTCCGCTTTTTATCGTACACCGATAAAAGTACTGTGCGACGATTTGTTTTGTTTACATGCTTTACGGAATCTGTGAGCGAACAAAATACTGCTTAATATCTGAACGACATAACTATATACCAAATGGAGTTATATGCGTATGTATAACGACCAACATGAAATGCCAAAAATGACGAAAACTGATTTTTCTCTATGACGTCAAAAGGCGACAGAGAGGTTACACACGTACAAAGAAAAAGGGGCATAACTCCGCTCTGTTCAGCACTAGTTTATTGTAACTCAGGTCAATTGGTGAGAATTAGCTGTGGGTAAGGACAATATATTTTCGTGGTGTTTTGTTCACGAGGAACCAAACTATTCCAACAGAAATATCGATAAAGAAACTGTATACGTTTAGTTGTAAAAAAAATCCATAAGAAATGATGAAATCGTGCTTCATAAAAAAGAGGTAATAGAGAAATGGAGGGCCCTATCTAACCTATAACTTAGTCCTTAGATTCAAACATTCTCCTGAATGTGTAAGTGTAATTTGACTAATGTTGCACCATTATTAATGGAGCACTAGCCTTATCATCAAATGTAATGAAATATCCAAAAAAATAACACCGTTCTATTTGACGTCATGGCTGGTTTTATGTCTTTCATAACGTCGGAGAAAGACGACACTGGTATTTTGATAACTATATATCTCCCCTAATTTTCGTTCATGATATGGAAAATCTCGATGTGTAAAACGGAATACGACGCTTTTTCGACACAACATAAAATGACTGCTTTCACCAATTAAATAATGTCTTGAATATGTAAACAATTAGCTAGTTTATCGTGTGCCTTAATTGGACAAGACACGCACCTGATTGGCATCAATTTACGCAATGAAATACCAAAAAGAATATTTCAAAACAACCAAATTATATTCAATATCTCGTCTCAGAATTACATACTAAAAGATGCGGAGAAAGCTCTATTGGTATAAAATTGTCAGGATAATCGTATACGGTTGAACCAACAGCTAGCTAGGGTACTTAAATTGGCATGGGTTATATTTTTATACATTTTACAATTCCTGGAGAAATAAAGTGAACAGTTTAATATCCTGTGATCACAACATTAAAAAAAGAATGAACCCATTGATTATATAATGCAAAACGAGAGGAATAATTCGTAAATTGTTTGTGGCTAACACGCACCTGGCGAATCGTTAGATATCACGGCTCTGTGTATCAAACGACAAAAAAACAAAAAACAAAAACAATTCCAAGACCAAGACAATTCTTTCAGAAATGTGTGCATATCATTTTACGAAAAATATTATCCATTTTGTTAAAGTAATATAGATCTATTCAGTTTTAGTTATAAAATAAAATGAAACAGCTATTCAAAGACATTGGTTATATGAACTTATGATATTGACTATTACACATCCCAAGAAATACGTACATGCTGCAGTTACCTTTACGCTTCATCTTGTAACACTTGTCCAAAGGAAAGAAATATAATCGTATTCGACACTAAAAACCTATCAATTGTTATGTAAATAATGTTCAAACAAACAGGAGATTATCAAAGGTTCGTTCATTCATGTTGTGGCTTATATTTGTGTATGATATCATTTTGAACATTGACAAATATCCAAAGGGAAATTAATTCTGTGAAAAAATGTATAAAACATATGTAAAATCTACATCATAACTGAAACTGTAAACAGCATGATACAATGATCGTGTGCACTCTCATTCAAGGACCTTCACCTCAAAGGAATTACCAAATATGTACAACAATGTTGACGTATGACATCACTACCTGTGACCCACTTTTACAAAATGGCGTGTTCACTGTCAACAGTACGCGGGATTTTACGCGGGACTTTCGTTGATTCAGGGATCGTATATACATAAATGTGACATGTAAGTAATCAGAAACATTCTGACAATCTATGTACTGTTATTTTTTGTTATAATTTTCATTGAAAAAAACCGAAATAGGCAGAAATTCCGATAAATACCGTTGTCGTTGTGCGTGATTTGCGTCAGTCATGGCGTCACACAGGACGGTAACTTTGACAATTTCTGTTGAAAATATCAAATCATTGCAGTGTATCTATTTTAAATTCCCTAATGTTTCCTACTACTCTCTTCCCGTGCATATTCTGAAAATGTTGAGCCATTATCTTGAAAGAATAGACGAATGGATAGCTCAAAAAAGTAGAAAATGCTACACTGTGTAAAGTCTGTTTTTTGCTTTGTTTACATTTCAAACAAGTGCAGCTTTTCGAGCACAGCATTCGTTTTCACACCTAACATATTTTGCTTGATAGCCAATATGGCGGAAAGTTTACTTTGGCGTTCGTGTTTGCGTATTTTCCAAAACATTCGAAACGATTCTCGGGTTATCGGAGACGTTTTGGAATGATCATTGGTGATTTCATAAAAGACAGATACCCGTGATCACTAATATGCTATTTTGGAAATTCATTTCTCCGAGTAAATATCCTAAATTTAGATTTCAAAACATGCTGTAAATAACGCCGTGAGAGGTGATTTAGTAATGTGTAAAAAATGGCGACATTTACGATGTACCTAATTTTCAGAGGTCATTTTCAGTAATTTTGCTTGGCCTAAAATGCCAGTGGATGATATCACAGAACAGGTAATTTCCCACCTTATTCAAAACTGTGAAGTGTATTTGTGTGGGTGATGTATTTTAAATTTTATTCGACTTCAAAGTGAGGGTTGTAGAGGAAGGACATATATGTCCCACTCTCCTACCCAGAGTTCCATGCGGCCGGTAGCCAGCTAGCATAGTACCTCTGCCACAGGCCAGCGCCATGTGACGATTCGTCACATCTTTCACAGCCCATTCAAGATATTGCATATGCTTTTCATCCGTTTCATGTTTGACAAGTCTACACATTTTCATAAACAAATGTCAAATAATGGTTAACTTTCATTGAGAAAGTATGCAAATACTT